CGCAGCACATGAGTACTCTGATAGCCGCTTCTTCATAAAGCTTTGTCTTTCCCGCTTCCAACGTGTCCCTTGCCCAGACTTGCGCCCTAACGGCTGCTGGAATGGGGCCTGCCCGATAACTGTGCGAGCAACTTGCTCTCTACCTCGTCATGCAGAGGCCTGAAAATAAGACTCTGAGACTTGTTAGCTTCGGTGGGTACTCTCTTCGTGCTCGAAAGGCCTAATTCAACGTCGATGAACAGATGGAGGAGGGCCACAATGTTTGGCGCAACTCTATGTCCTCAAAGAAATCATGCAACGGGTTCAGTACGATCAAAATGAGGAGATTCTGCCTGTAGAATACTTTGATTTGATGGCAGGTTCAGAGCTGGGAGGGTAACTAAGCAGTCTCCCTTAAGATATCACTTGCTTACCAGCATGGACAGGTTGATCGTCGTGCTACTCGTTGTTCTCCGCCTATCTGTGGATCAAGCTATCGAAAAGTTTAAAAAAGTGGCGCAAAAGGTCTATCTCATCCAGGGCTTGACGACAATTCAAAGAACAGCAGCCCTCAGATCCGAGATAGAAGATGTCCTCTACGAAGCAAATTTGGAGAGAGATGCCCTTTTGTTCGACTCATCTAGGCCAGCTCAGAGATGCCAAGGGCAAGTACTATTCTCTGCCAATCGGCCTTCGTCCCTAATCAGCGTGACAGATTCCTCACGGCAGTCCTCTCTACAGGGGCCAATGTCTGCTTCAAACTGAAAACATATGTTAGCAGAGAGTCTTCCGTACTCCAAGTCAGCATCGTCGACGCCGTCGTCGCATCTTGCGCTTCCCACCCTCTCCATACCGTAGCCTCGGTCGACGGTATGGCACTTTTGGGAGGAAATCTAGGATTCTCAAATCCAACGAAAGAGCTACTGGGGGAGGCTTTGCATCTGTACGGAAAAGATGCTCATGTCTCGTCAGTAATAAGCCTAGGTCTCGGACGACCGCCCCCAATGGCATTTCCAACGGCCGAGGTTCATCAACAAGAACAATGGAACAAGTTCTTGCTTCAGATTGTCACAGATGGCGAGACAGTATCTCGCGAATTGCTCGCTCGGGTCTATCATTTAGGCATATACTTCCGGTTCTCTACGCCAAACACCTCTTTTGGACCTCATACAGACTATGGTACTCATGGGAACTCGGATTTCTTGGTGGAAGATATCCATACTTATATTGCCGATTCTTCGCCAAACTTGGATCACTGTGTCTCGGTCTTGAAAAACTCTCTAGGTGTGGTCACTCTCGACCAGCTAAGTGAGTCGAATTCTATTATCGATTGATCGCATGCTGATGGAGCGAAGATCGAACGCCTGGAGGAATGACCGTCCTCAAAACGCTACCGCCCTTGACAAATCACTTTATAATGAGGGAAAACCCCTGGAAGGCCTTGGTGGATGGACTGTTATCCCCACCTCAATATGGAGTCGCACATGAACAAAGAATTATGGTCATATCCGGTATGGGTGGATGTGGAAAGACTCAGTTGGCACTTAAATTTGCCCATGAGCACCAAGAAAAGTGAACCAATTCTATAGTACCCTCGCTCATTCTTATCATTTACGCAGATATAAGCACGTTTTCTTCATTGACGGTAGCTCCGAAGCGAATATCAAGGCCGACCTAGTCGCCAACGTTCGTTCGCTGGGTGCAGAGTACTCTCAAGAGAGCTTCGAAGGAGCAATGGGGCTCTTGCAAGGATTATTCAACGACTGGCTACTCATTTACGATAATGTAGATGACCCTTCGTTGGATTTAGCAGATCTCCTTCCACAGTGTACCCATGGCTCGATTATTATCACGACACGAAATCCATCTCTAGGAGATCTATCCTCTTCGACACCCCTGGAGATGGACGTCATGTCCGAGGAAGAAGCAGTGGCCGCTCTTCTCAGTGCCGCAATTCCCAAACCTAAAAAGCCGACCATGGACGAAGTTGCAATGTCGATTCGCATCGTCGAAGAGCTGGGGTACTTGCCGGTAGCGATCATACAAGCCGGTAGTCTCATTCGCCAACGCAAATGCTTTCCCGACTACCTCAACCGCCTGCGAGCCAATCGATTGAAGCTCCTCCAGACGCCTGCCACTGCTCAGCGCGATAGGCACTCGCATAGCGTCTATGCCACTTTAGAGACCACAAAGCTTGTACTACCTTTCCACGTTATACAACTCCTTCACCTACTTTCATACTATCACCACAGTAATATCCTGGTCAATGGTATGACCTTGGCCGCTGAAAGATCTTTCCTTCATCAAACTTTCAACTTTTTGGAGCGCCCATTATCCTTTGAGCAGTCCATCTCCCTTCTTAAGGAGATATTTTGGACTTTTGGATTGTGGGATTCGGAAGAATTTGACGACAATCTGCTAATTCTTCAAAAATACTCCCTCATCACAACCGTTCGAAATGAAGACAAATTGATCGTTCGCCTTCATCCGCTAACGCAAGCCTGGGCAAGGGACACGTTGGAAGCGGGAAAGACAAAGCTTTATGAAGAAGCGGCTATCAGAGTACTCATGTGCTGCG